CACAGTACTTAAACGGTTAAATATGAAAACCCAATTATTATGATTTGATGAACTTGACTATCCGAAAAATGCAAACAAAATGGAAATAATCTAAAGCCTCAAGTAATCTCAAGCAGTGTCAACACAAAAGATAGTATCTGACAAAGGGCTTGTAAGAAAGGAGTTAATCTCTAAATTTAATAAGTGAGTGAACTTATGTAAGAAAAGGGGCTTTTTATAAAAATATAAGGCTATAAGCGCGCGCACACGCACACACACACAAACACACACACACACATACACACACACTAAAACCTTTTTAAAATGATTTATCAAAAGAAAACACCTTGAAAAAACATATGGAAGTTACTCAATTTCGCTGGAGGGGAGAGATTGACTTCATTATGTCTTTCGCATTTATTTCATTTCTGGAGGTGCAATATGGTTTCTCCCTCGTGGTCGGATGTAAATACCCAACCCAAGGGTCATTTTTCCTAAGTCGTACCCTCTAGGTGTTTCCTTGCCGCTCCTTCATGAAATTCTTCAAATACCTTTTTCCCATCTCCTGCGTAGAAATTTTAGTAAGAAATTAGAGAATCATATCCTATATAGTTGGACTTTCAACAATGAATATGAGATGCACTTTCTTTTGATCTTTGCGGCTTTCTTTGTGATCCTTCGACAACTCTCTAGTTATTATTTATTTCATTATCAATGTCATCCATCTTAAAGGCATTGGTTTTCTTTTCCATTGCCACTACTACGAATAACACATTTTACCTCGACTGAAAAGGGGTTTTACCTAGGTTTCATAGGCAAGGTAATAAATGAAGTCATAAAAAATTGACTTTTTCCCCCCCGGTAATAGTAAAAATAGAGGGATAAATTTTACATCTAATGTGTTCAAACCCCAGCAACAGCAATTTCGTATTTTTATTAAAAACACGTCACTTTTCCTATCAGTTTATCAAGTACCTGGGGTACATGAACAACAACAGTGGTAGCAACAACAACAACATCAACAACAACAGTAACAACAACAAGTGTCAGTATATGATTTGTTCTATTATCTGAAGGTTATGCTTTTTTTTCTTGCATATATCAGGTGCTTTATAGGGCAAGTCTATGTCTGCTCCAAAACTCCTATAACCTTTAGCTTGGTAACTAATATGGATATTTTGGCCTCTGACAAAATTGATATGTCATCACTTTATCGTAGATATCCTTACTTTCGTGTTCAATGATTATATTGAACTCTTTTTCAAGTTTGAGGCTAAGATCGGGTAGGAACGTTTATGGACCAAGAGTTGCAAAATGAGTTTGATTCTCCAAAAATGCATGTTTGTCCACACTTTTTTGCAGGGCGGACTAAAGTTTTAAGCATGCACCCTCTAATATGTATGCCCCACCTCGCACCATTTTTTGTGAGTTTTTGTGGACACGAACATTAATATAAATTTTACAATTTTTAGGCTTTAAAAATGTACTTCCTGCTCCACCCACACTCTCATTTTTTTCCAAGACTAACAAAGTTTTAGATCCACGCCCTCAATAATGTTTGCTCCGTCCCTTTTTTTCCAGACTTTTGTGGGACAGACATGCCCATTTGCCACCTCTTATTATAGTCTCAACCTATAACTCAATATGCTAATGGGTCGACTTTATTTCCACCTCAGTCTATGTAGGAACATAAGGATAACTTAGTACTTGTCTGAGAAAATGAATAATAACACAAATTCACATATCCAACTGTGAGTTTTTGTGTTCAAACTAGTGGAATACACATGTGTTCGCACGGGTACTTGTATGGTATGCATATTTATTCTCAAAATATATTTAAAATGAAATGAAAGAAAAATTAAATTGTGCAACCAAAAAATTTTATCATTTTTAAAATAAATAATGAATCAATGCCTATAATTCTTTCTCGTATAAAAAATATTTTAATCAACAATGTATTCTTTCCCGTATTTAATTTTTTTTTGTTTTGAAATTATTTATAAAAATATTTGAATCTATAGTAAATTTGTTCCTATATATAAAAATATTTGAATCTATAGTAAATTTGTTCCTATATATAAAAATATTTAAATCAACAATATATTTATGTTCGTATATAAATATTATTTTTATTTTGATAATATTTATCAAAATATTTGAAATGAATGTATTAACTAATTGATAAAAAAATTGTTTTACGTATATTAATATATGTATTTTTTTCATATTTTAAAATAAACTTTTAATATTATTAAAATAATAATATATAATACATAATTTGACTAAAAATATTATGCTGTCTTTTATAGAGTTTAAAGACTAATTTGTTTTTGGTATAAATGACACACATTTATACGATATTTATTTTTAGTTTTATAAATTTTAATTAATTATATATAATATTGTATAAATAAATATGTTTTTATATTAATAAATGACATTCTTTTTTCTGTTTTTAGATTAATAGTTTAGTTTTTTTATTAGATTCTTTTTTGTGCTTTCATGAAATACTTAAAAAAAGTGATTTTTTTTATATTGTATAAATAAATATGTTTTTATATTAATAAATGACATTTTTTTTTTCTGTTTTTAGATTAGTACTTTAGTTTTTTTATTAGATTCTTTTTTGTGCTTTCATGAAATACTTAAAAAAAGTGATTTTTTTTATTATAATAATGACTCTATAGTATAAGTGGTTTAAAATAATACTAATATTTTATCATAAATTTAAAGTTTGATATCATTAATTTTATAGTGTAAATATTATAAATTAAAGATTTTTTTAAGCAATAATAAAATATAAACTATAATCATAAAAATAAGATAATTATGAAAATATGATGTGAAAATGATAAATTTGAACATCATAAGTGAAAGAAAAAAAGATAAAATAAACATGATTTTAATAAAAAGATAAAATAGAACATAGTTTATAAAAAGAACATAAATTTAAAATTTAAAAAAAAAAATAGAACATAATTTTAATAAAAAAATATTTTAGATTAAATAAAATATTTTATATTCTAAACAAATCAAAAAGATCGGTATTCTATGTAATGATCTGTATATGTATAATTTAGCCCACTGATAAGTAAATTTGTAATAATACTCAAACTTCTTGATGTATTTATGATAAGGTTGTCATAGAAAAGTTATTTAAAAAGTCCATTTTTCCAATCAAAAGTCTGTTTGCTTCTTAATGATTCTTCAGACAAATTAATGTATTAACACTTTTCAATATTAAGGTCAAGAAGCAATACAGTTCTCACAATATTGAAGGTTTTGCAAGAAAAGGAACTTAGGCCTTTTGAGCATGAGATGTTAGTGAGTATTAACATACAACCAGCTTAGCTGACTCCACTGCTAGGTTCAAATCTTTGGCCTGAGACACATATTCACATAATTTATCTTATTTTTTAACAACTTAAAATTCAATTTAAATCAAACAAAGGCACAGTTTATCAAATTTTGATATAAAAACAAAATGTTGGACACCATCTCATCATGTAAAACAGAAATGATTATGTTATCACGATGTCGGCATTAGAAACTTAGATGTGAATCCTTCATTATAATCCATTGAAAAGGGCACCCCTTCCATCAGTACAGGAACCATGTTGTAAGTATCACTATAAGAATGCAACAATTACCTACTAATTTTACCAAGTACTATAATATTAAATCTAAAATGTTACATACCTACTAAGTATCATTGTAAGAATGCAACAATTACCTATTAAATTTATTTCTAAAATATTTTCTATTTAGCATCGTCGATCTGTGTGAGGCTTGTCATGTGCTTTCTGTAAAGCAGTACCCACCCCCATAAAGGGAATTTTGAAACCTTGGATTATAGAACTCTAAGTTGAAAATTATAATGTTGAAAATATCACTTACCATGTGAACACCATATCCATCTATAGGAATGAAACAAAATACTAAGATGTGAATTCAAAAGTCAATTGAATATATGATAAGAAACCTGTGTATTGGCTTGTACAAGTATCATGATAAAATATATGATTCACCATATAGTAGTTTTACTATCGCGAAACTGCAGACCGTCGTAAAACCGCCAGAAATGCCTTAGTCATCGTCGTAGCCGTTTTCCTGATTCCGATTGATACCCATTTTCTCCAAGCAACAAACACATAAATTGAAAAATGTTCAATATTATTCAAAACAAAATCACATTAAATTGGAATTTCAACTTACAGTTAATCTCAGTCTCGCCGTAGTCGATATAGCAAGTGGATCACCCTGAACCCTGCTTGAAACAGAAAACCAAAACTCGAAAAATTCAATGAAAAAGCCTTAGTTCAAACAAATAGAATTGTAATTGGATATTATTAGACCAGTTAACACACAGGGAGGGAACTTGTATAATTAAACTGCCTTTCCACATGAATCTAAGTATAACCTTTTGCAAATGGTGTAAAAGATATCTCACAGCTCTTAGCTACCGTCCTAGTCTCATCAGAAAGAAGAAGATTTCCATCAAAATCAGTCTCCCAGAAGAAGGGAACACTGCCATCAGCATCCAGTTACATAAGGATGTCATCCACAATCCGTGCACACATCCTAACAACATAAGAAAAGAAACATATGTAACAGATTGTCATGAAAATGTCTCACACAATCAATTTTTAAAGATATATCTCAACTCAGATTTTTCAGAAATTGCGACTCTGTAACAGAAATAGATTTAGATTTAGATTTGTGAATGAAATAATAGTGAAAACAAATATGATAAAAGCTTGAACTTTTTATCACATCAAAAACTCATATTTGCTTTTTATACTTCCTTGTTTGAAACGAAACCGTAACTCACAAACAGATCTCCATCTTCTTCGTATAACTGCTAGTAACATATATAACCATTGAGAATGATGTTAAAAAAACAACAAAACACAACACTTAAGAAACCCATAGAAGTAATCATTCAACCTTTAAGACAAACCTTATTCTTACGGATCGATTCAAGAACCCCCCTGAAAACAACTTTCATATCACCATGTACATCAAATTTCTCGAAGTAAACAGACGTGTGCATTGCTTTCATTTGTGATATCGGTTAGGGTTTCAAAATAAAAGTGTTGTTGTAGATTTGGTTTAGTGTGTGATGTTTGAAGCCACCATAGAAGAACCATGACAGAAGAATCAAAACATGGAAAAGTTAGATGAAGAGAGAAGAAGAACAGTGTAGATTTGACAGTGTAAGTTTCAAACATATTTTTGAAGAACATGAAGAAAGAAGAGGAAGAGAGAAGTTTGAAGAAGTGGAAGAGTCAGATGAGCGGGAGAGAAAAAGAAGAACAAGATTAGGCAAAAACAAAGTCATGTGATTTTTTGGAAATACAAAGTGATGTGACAGAACATTGTTAAAAGAAAAGAAAAAAAAAAGTGGAATTACAAAGGTTTGTTTTCAACCAATTCGAAAGGAGATAGAAAGAAAAGTAGCCAGATCAATTAGACATAATAGTTTGATTGAAAAATAAATAAATTTTGGACCAATTTTGCCCTCAATTTGATGTGGTGTCAAGAAAAGAGATGGACAAAATTGATGTTTCCAAAACAACTCATTTTGTTACAATTTCTTGTGCACTATTTTGTTAAGTTTATTCAGTTGAGAACAAGTTAAGACTTCATTAAATAAGTTTAGACCGCTAGATGTGGATGGAATTTGAATACTATATATAACTTGGGACAAGCTTATTGTTAGTAACACAACTTATTCAGTTCAATACAAATAGGCACGGTATCTAATAATCTTCGACTAAGTTTAACAAATATGTGCAAAAAAGTTATAATCATTAGGGTTCACAGCACTTGTGATTTGAAAGAGAATTGTTTTACAATTTCTGATATTTTACAACATCCAACTTCAAAGAAAAGTGAAATTCAAATAACAAAAATGTACATAACCTACCAAAACTAGACCCAAAAAAACGGATGCACCATGACATAGCATCAGTTTATAAAACAATGTATGGAATCAATCATTCCAGAATTTGTGAATCCCCGTGATCACTATGAGTGTGCATCTCTGGACGAGGAAATAAAAGTTTGAGACGGAAAGCATCGACTCCATTTAAATAGTAGTGAAAGAGACGTTTAGCCCTGATAAAGCCAAGGCGACCGTACAGCGCAAGTGCTCCTATATTTGTGACCTCTGCTTCCAATGTAACCTATAACATAAGATCATGGGTTGTGTGATAAGATAGAAGGTAAAACATATAAAGGTAATGTGTAAAAAAAGTTGAAGACAATAATGAGTAATGGAAATTGATTCTGGGTAAAGAATGAATATAAAATGGGTTAATAATAATAGTTGGTACTCGGGTCGGGGGACAAGTTCAACGTTTCTATAAAAACTCGCAAAATCACTTAGACTCAAACTAGCAGACTTATAAGTGCTTACCCAATACAAAATCATGTTTTAATTTTGAACATCTACCATAAAATCTGAACACAATTTACTCCATGCTTAGTAAATACTCAACATTATAACATAGCAACAAAGCAAACCCACTAACGAAATTGAAGTATTTTGCAAGAATCAATAAATCAAACAATGATGAGTTCATAGATCCGGACCAAAACACTAAAAAACCATAGCAACTCAATTGACATGAAACTCACAAATCACAAGATAGGTTCTCAAATAAGTATATAAAAAGAGCAATGACAAGTTAAATATCAACGGATAAATTGACAGATCACAAGGCTCAAAACTATAGAAAAATGATGGTGGGACTGGGTTTATAAACGGGTTCTTTGGGAAAATATATGTCCACTATGCATAGAGGATTATTTTCTTTATAGAAGCAAGGCTCAGTGGCAGAAGGAACACTTTTCCTCTGTAATCTCTTATTACCATAAATAAAGTTCATATTTCCATTTACCATTTGTGTCTCTTAATTTTGATTCAAAATCTCATGGTTTCTGTATCTTGAGCCTATCATGCAGGTTGGATAAAAAGGAACAGTGTTTCATGTGAAATTTTTCATTGAAAAGTACCACTCGAGATTACATGGAATGTTAAATTAAATTGAATATCGGGCAGAAAAAACCCAACAGGAAAGTAAACTCATTATTGAATAGATAAAAATGTTATGAATGAAAAGACAAGTAGTTACACAAGACACGGTATTACCAAGGACGGAAACATCACAGAGAAAGTCAAGGAGATACTATAGCAAAGAATATGATAGTCTTGCCTTTGGTGATCAGGACATGTGTGAAGAAGGCCCATAGAAACTCAAACAAGAAAGGGATTTGAGAAGAAGAAGAATCCAATAGCTAGAGGTAGAAAGTGGTCAAGGAACACTACACGATTAAAAGAAATAGTATATTATAATCATCAGACACAATTCAAGATAGGACCGACAATATTATAGCGTCATTTGATCTTGTAACCGACCCCATCTGGTGGAAAATAAATGCACAACAAAATTCCGGATTGCCTATTAAGTACTGATTAACAAAACAGCCATTCCCATCCTCCGAACTTACAATACAAAGACTATAATAAACTTTCACAAAGTTTCATTTTCAAGTTTTTTATACCAACCAACACCAAAACTAAAACCTTTCTCTACATGCCTAAACTACAAGACATGGGACAAGTTTATATCAACTTCTGAGTTCTAACTCATGGAGGCTTTTCAATCGAGATGAGCAATTGATGTTAGACAAACAAAAGAATCTTCCAAGTGAAAAATTACAAAGAAACAAAAAACATTTAAAAATCAAAACAATTTCAATTTAATTTTCCTATAAATGCTTACAAAACAAGTTATACATACCTCATCACAACCAGATTCCATCATGACCTTGATAGACCTAGTAACAAGTTCTGTAGCTGCATAAAAAGCAATGAAAACCCAAAATTCAACATTTTTCTCTAAAACTCGTGGCAATCACACATCACATAAACCCTGAAATAAAAACAGAATTTTTACCAATGCCTCTTCCTCTGTAGGGTTTGATAACAACAAGCATAGCAATGTATCCTCTAAAAGTGTTACGATGTTCTCCCATTTTACAAACCACCGTTCCCACACATCTACCCTTATGAAACGCCTAAAAGAAAAAGCATAGAAACTGAAATGATTAACGAGAAATTGAGAAACGAGGCAGAGAATAAAAAAGCGAAAAGATGAGAAATTTGGAACCAGGAAAGAAAGATGAGGCCATAGATAGACGAAGTAACGATAAGTGAAGATGGAGTAAGGTTCGCTGAGTTCTTCGTCGACGAGGTTCATGATGAGAGGGAGGTGGTGTTCGCCGCCGTAACTGATGTATTCGATGTCGGAATCATTGAAATCTAGTTTGCAGATTTCTGGTTCGTCTTTGTTGTTGGTAGTTTCCATCTCTTGTTGATGTTCGAAACAAAAAAGATGGTGGCTTTCACGGATGAAATGGACCTTGATTTCTTGTTTTCTTGGGTTTTATTTTCATGCCCTACTTTACAATACAAGAATCTAATTCGCACCTCCTTCCATATATATAACACATAATAAAATAGAGATATGTAAGGTTTAAATTGTGTTTTGCTTTATAGTATAAGTTATAAAAAATACAATTCAAATAATATAATAGAGAGTTATTATTTTATAGATTAAACAAAACACAACATATATCAAAATAATAGAATTAATTTTTTTATAAATTCAATGAGTAATAAAAAATTAAAATTCAAATAATATAATAGAGTAATGTTATTAAATATTAAATAAAAGAACAAAAGATATAAAGAGAATAGAACTAATATTTATTGAGCAACTAATTTTTAAAAAATTTAGATTTAAAAAATTATTACACGTATAAACACTTCAATTCATATGACATATTAAGGGACAGCAAAATGAAATTAGGAGGCAATATGGCATGTGTAGCGAAGAGTCAATAAAGAAGCAGAAAAGCAAAAAGAAAACACATAAGCAGCAGCAGCATTCAAACGAAGACCTTTTCTACGATCTTCTACGTTTGTTGGTGAGAATGACTTCAAGGCAGAAAGTTGTGCGTGTAATTGAGTAAGGATTACGTTATATCCCAAATTTATCGGCTTTAGTGTTACCGTTAAATTTATTTTCGAATTTGTTGTTTATTGTTACTAATTTTATTTTCATTTTCAATTATTTCTAATCAGAAAAATCATATTTTTTTATTATTAAATTATTTATTTTCATATTTATTTATTTATTATATTTTTAAAATATTATTTTTTATTAAAATCATTATTTTATTTAAAAAATAGTCAAAATAACTTATAAATAAATAAAATCTTTTTAAATCAATTTTCTCTATATTAAATTTTGCAACTAGACACAAATACGTTCAGATTCTTAATCTTGCTAGTCAAGATAAGAAATTGGGCTTTGGGTATTGGATAATTTCTTTTTTTGAGGTTTAACCTAATTTTTTCACTTAAAAATAGGTCATATTTTCACACTTCTAGGATATCTAGAATTTCTCACAACAACTTTTCACGCACACTTTCTTTTCAAATTTTCTTCTCAAAATTATTGGTGTTTATTTTACTATTTTTTGGCCGATGATTTCATATGAGGCCTCTTGATTATTTTTATAATCATATAATGATATTTTCTCATGGTTTCTTTCTTCGTAAAAAAAATAATATATATGCAGTATTTTGTTTTATCAACAATTTCACAAATCCAGAATTCATCAACAATTTTTCCATCAACCCCACACAAATTGCACAATCATGTTTTGGTGAAACTTCCACGCACCAACGCACGAAGTCCCTCCGGCAACCCTCCAATCGCGGCCACCACCACTATAAGCATCTCCTTTCTTTTTTTTATTTATGTTTCGGTTTTGATTGTTGGACATAGGTGTTAATTTTGTTACTATGAAGAAGAGAGATTTGCTTGTTGTTGTTATTGTTTCTTCAAAAGTTATGAACGGAAAAAAAGGCACAAGTGAAAGAGAAAACACTGGTCTCTTGGATGTATTTGTGTTATCTCTTTACTTTTTTTCTTATTTTTGTTTTAATTAAATGTCATGTGTCTAGCTATCATTGGTTAGTGCTCTAAAAACATTATGATAGCAATAGAGATAAAGTCACGTGAAAGGTAATCTCTTCAATTTCTTTCATTTGTTATTTCTATTTTATTTTATTTTTTACACAAACTCTTATTTAAATTAGACTATAGATATTGGGTAACAATTCATTCATATTTAATTTACTAATCATTCTACTTAATTATTTTATTATTCTAAAAAAAGATATAAAATATTAATTTCATTAATTGCTTAATTTAGTTTATAAAAAATGTCCAAACACGAAAATAGGTGATTTTATTATTAACTTTAAATTTGTTGGTAAATAATTAATGTAGTTATGTAATTATTAGGCTAATTAGATTTAATTGGTGTATTATACTCTATTAACTTTTAATTATAAAAATTTAAAAAATAAAACTTTTTAATTAAAACTCTACTTAATCTAAACCCCCCGCTTAATTGGGCTAAGTTCAATTTCTGAACTTGGGCCCTTAATACCCCATCTGCATTTGCGCCCAGTTCAATATCTGAACTTGGGTTTTTACTTGTCAGACCCTCTTATTTGACTATCCTGTTACAAAATGTACCCCTCAGTCAATTTGGACTCAAAATATCTTTGGATCCAGATGTTTTTCTAATACACCACTCAGTCTTAATATCCTCGCCCCCTATGTGTTTTTGGCCCAGTTCAATATCTAAACTAGGGCCCTTCATCTTAACACCTCCAGATTAAATTTTGCACTCTTTAACCTTAATTAATTAATTTATTATAATTTATTTAATTCTTCTAATTTATTTATTTTCTATTTTTTAATTATCATATATCGCATTTTTACACATTTGCATTAAATATAATTTTCGCATAATAATAAATAATTATTGGATATTTTTAATATTTGATATATTTTTAATAATTAGAAAAGGTAGTTATTTATTAGCTTAAATATTTTTCTAAAACACTAATTCTATTTTTCTAAATTGCATTAATTATTTTTCTCGTCGAAACATATTTTTCTCATATCGCATCATACATCCTAAAATAGCTAACCAATCAAACACTAACAATTTTTCCACTAACATAACAAAATCTAAGATATTTTCATAAAAAGGATTAAGGATAATTTCTTTAAAAATTAACTGCGAGTTGCATCTACGATCACTCTTTTACAAAACCCATACAAAGTTCAAGGATAATTTCGAAAGCAATTCTACGCAATCCTATAAAAAACACCAACCAAACACCGCGAACTACGAAATGGGACTCTGATTTCTCCTAAGAGGATACGTATGCATACGATTAAAATTGTGGCGAGTTCCCCTAACTAAAATTCAAACCCATTTTCCCCTAATTAATAATTAAAACCCTATTTCCTAAGAACACGTTTCTAAACCTAGTATCTTTATGAACAAGGTAGATGAGGGGTGCCTAACACCTTCCCTTCGTCTAGAACTGGGTCCAAACCTAGAATCTCCGAACTTTTTAGAGTTATTCTTTTATATTCTCTTCCTTAGGATAAAAATTAAGGGTGACGACTCTGATTTAAAAACCAATTGCAACAGATTCCTAATCGTGAAAAAATCTTGTTTTATCTATGAACACTTTAAAACCGTTACAGATTTATACAAATTGTTGTAGAATCGTTTATTTTTTTTGGTTAATCATAGAGGCAGAGAGAAGGAAAACATAATTTTAGTGGCACACATGGTGTATAAACAATGTTTGTTGCATGTTGTTATTTGTTGCAAAGCTGAAAATCTCAAGCTTCGACATTTTGACAAAAATGAGTGTCAACAGATGTACCTCTGTTATTTGGATCATGAGGATAAGTGATTGCTTCGGAAAAAAAATTAGGAAAATGTTTAGCTACGAAGAATTTTGTGTAGAAGTGTTAGGAGCGTGTGATGTTTGAAGAAAATATGAACTTGAACTGAAAGAGGTTGTTAAGCAGGACACCAAATATGTCATTGTCGACTAAATGAAAGGGAGTGTGCCGGCATCAGCCGATAAAGGAGTTAAACGTGATGCTGAACTAAAGCAACTTGTCAAGCAGTTCATTCAAAGTGTTGATGTTGAACTAAAGGAACCTGCCCAAGAGTTAATTTAAAGTGTTGATTTTGAACTAAAGGAACCTGCCAAGGAGTTCATTCAAAGTGTTGATGCGGAGAAAGGGAAAAGGATTGCAAGCCATGTCCATTATAACATATTAATGTCATCCAAAAGTAAATGGTAAAGTGTTTTAGTTTCTATTATTAAGACGTAGCGAACGCATAGTTCAAGTAGTTTTATGTTGTAGTTAATGTTTTGAGTCTTTAAAAGAAATAGAAACATTGAAACATATCACTGTTAACGAATAATTTGTATGTTACATGTTATGAAAATACAGTGAGTCTGAGAGGTTGGTAGCAACTTCCAAAGTTGGTAACTCTCGTCCCCGAAATGTGCGGAAATGGAACAAATAGGTCAATGATGCAAGAAAAATCAGGAAAAACGTGTTTGTAAGTTGTAGTTTACATATTGTATATATATAAATTATGTATGTAAAATGATTTGGTAAGGAGTTTTTTTTATGTCATTGGGCAGTGAACTTCGACTGCGATTATAAAGGAGTGTTTTACGGAGCCACAAAGTCCAATTACAATCCACGACACTGATATGAGCAAGAAATACCAATGCAAGTTAAAAAGTCATAAAGATCCGACAAAGATTGAAATATACATTTGCAAAGGTTGGTAAGAATTTGCATAAGTGCGGCGATCGGGCAAAGGGGATTTGTTGAAATTTTTCATTGAGTATCCTCCTGCAAGTTGTTTGTCAATGTCGGTTGATAAGGATTAATTCAGGTGGAATGATGTTTAAGATCTGAAGGCGTAATCTGTGTTGCATTTTGGTGGTTTAGGTTTAAAAATAGTGTATGAAACTTTGAACGAACAAATGTAATGGTTGTGTTTTAATTTTGGTATCAATGGCCTTGTTGCCATATATGACATGTAATTTAGATATTATAACTAATTATTAATTGCATAATTTTTCGTAAATAATATAAAAAGTTGGCGTTGTTGCTAAGGCATTTGTATGATATGGTTGTGATGTAGTAATAACACAAGTTGTTGTTAACAATTGTGAATTATTGTATTGTGAGTGCATACTGATTGTTATGGCAGAACTACATAAAATAGAAGTTTTATTGTTGTTATGGATACAATGGCAGTGATGGATGGTTGTTGTTGTGATGGTTGTTAGCAAATGGGCTTTTAGGAAGATATTATCAAACCTGTAATTTTATGAATGATTTGAATAGTTTGGTTAATGTAAAGTTCATAACTATTATATGCAGAGTGA